CCCTCAGCGGCTCCACCTCCACCTTCGCGCGCACTGCTTTATTCATCAAGGCAGCCACCAGGGTCGCTGCCTCTATCTGGGCCGATCAAAACCCTCTCAGGAGGTCGGCCTTTGTCAACCGCTCCATCGACCGCATGACCACATCCTCCACCACTCCAATGATGCGGTCAGCTGTGACCTTGGCTTTCTCCCATTTTTCTGTCGAGCGACCTGCCAACGCGCGCGCATGGTACATAGCACTCTTCAACGCTACGCTCGTCTCTGGTTTGTTAATCCCAATCTTCTCTTCACCAAGACTGGGAGATACTTCTACCACAGGCCCCATTGTCGTAGCCACTTGGGCACTGGGGCCCACGTCTTCTTTTAACACTTAGGCACTTGGGCCCATGTCTTCTTTTAGCACTTGGACAGTCTCCCTTCCTGGAGCCTCCTCCGCCCTCCCCTCCTTCATCTTCTTCAAAACAGGGGCGTCCTTACTCCCCTCTGCCGTCACCCTCTTTTTCTTCGTTTTCTTTAACACTGCCTCCACCTTCTGTTTGTCCCTTTCCTTCAGTGGGTCTACTGGGGGCGGTAGTGGGGCAAAGTCAGTTAGGTCTTTGTCTCCCAACAGTTTGGGACGCGGTCGAACCCGCCCCTCATTACCAGTTTAGGTGCAGGCCCCAACTGTGCCTCTTTATACCTATCCGCTTTGGCAAACACTTTCTGTTCTTCTGCCTCCTCTGCTTTCCTCCTTGCCTCCAACTTCTCCCGCACCGGATCCTCCTCCATCGGCTGCGGCCCCAGGCTCAAGGCAAACAGGGTTGAAGGTCGAACCAGATCATCCCACTTCGCCCTCTCCTTCTCCCTCTACTCATTCATCCTCTTCACCCTGTTCTCAACCTCCGCATCTAGACTTGGCTCCACTGACTTTGTGGGGACTTTCCACATTGTGCGAACCCTTCTCCCACCGTTCGCCGATGCATAAAACCATCTTGGTCTTCATCCCTTCGTCAAAGATGGCAAGCCTGCCATTATACCACGGCCCGCCACCGCCTGCAAGGTCACCCACGTTTCCTGTTGACCGGAGGCCTTGTAGCAGGAGAAGAATTCCTCCACCATCATGGCTGCCCCCCCGGTCGCCTGTGGCCATGCGACTGCGCAGGCCATTAGTATCTTCCACGCATTGGGCATCAGCTGCCCTGGCGCCACCTCTAGTCGATTTAGTACATCCACCACTACTTGGGGGAGCGGCAGCCTCAGCCCCCTCCCCGCAATGCCTCTTCGTACAACGTGAATTCCATCGGTCGTGCGTCCGATGCCCTCTCCTTAGACGTAAGCAACCTCAGCTCTATCTCCGCCGGAATTTGGTACTTCCTTCATACCTCCTCCAACTCTTCTGTCGTGAACGTAGACTTGTTGGCCTTGGTGTGCTAGTGGTCCGGTTCCACTTGGCTAATCGCCCTAGCGGCTACGATCATCGTCGCTGGGCGAGCCCGCATCGTTTGCCCAGCCCCTCTTTTCTCCTTCCTCTCTACCCTGTATTGTTCAGCCAACCCTACTGCATCGTCCTCTCCCAATGCATCTAGCCTCGTGGCTAGCACTTCATCTCGAGCCATCCTTTCTACGTGTCTGCGTATCGCTTCGGACACTGGCACAAGGAAGTTCGTAAAGTGTCGCAGCGACGTATCACACGAAACAAATGAGTGCAGCTCTAGGATGTGTTAGTTTTTCGCGATAAGGTAAGTAAAACGAATAACTCCAAATGCCCACGGTTTGCCTATATTCCAAGGATTGAGATTAAATTTCGCTAGTTTGAAAATTTTCGAAAACTTCTGCCCCTACCTTTTCGACACCCTATATTAGCCTACCCCTTCGTTTCCTGCTAACGCATCACCTTCCTTATTACGGGATTATGCCACGTGTACGACCATGATCCATTACTCTCTTCCCTTTTCCTGTCTATTCCACTTCACACCACCACATGCCCCGCCGCTCCTCGAGCCCAGCGCGTTGTCATTTTCTTACTCGGTCACCATCCGTGGTCGACCCTCCTCCCATCGATTGTCTCACTCGATCACCCTTCGCGGTCAGCCCTCTTTCCAGTCGGCCCTCTTACTCAGTCACCCTTCGCGGTTGGCCCTTCTCCCAGTCGGCCCTTTCACTCGGTCACCCTTCGCAGCTGGCCCTCCTCCCACTCGGTCTTCTCTCACTTGGCCACCCACAATCCTCGTTTTCTTCCTTACTCCCTTTGTTGGACTGAAGCTGCACTTGAAAATGGGGGACTACTGATATAGATGGGCCCATAGGGGCTTTTGGTCCACCACATAGAGCCCAATACACGGTTCTAACACTAAAGCCCAACATCACTAGAACCCAACATTGCATAAAGAACCAATGGCATCTAAACACTTGTCAAGAGAAGAACCAGCCACGTAAGTAAACAAAGGTTCTACAGAGTTATTGCACCACACATTAGCCATTAATGAGGCCCCCTGCAGCATTTAATGCGATAACCCCTTCGCGTCGGAACAGAACGGCCTCACCATGAACAGGGTAAGCGAGAGCATAGACTTTTCAGCCAACATGACAGGTCGGAGTGGATAAGGAAATGATGAACAAAGGATATAAGCAGGTTTCTAAGACAAAAAGAAGGTTAAGTTCTCTATCCTTACTCTATTTTTTCTACACACCATTAATCTCTCCCTTCTAACTTGCTCGTCGGAGGGTTCACTGGGAGACCCTCATTTCCCGTTGGACTTTTGTGCAGGTACCTCAGCGAGCCCAGTGACCGGACAACGGTGTTGGGGGCGTAGATTAGCCTGACCCGTCTATCATGGACTAGTAGTATCATCAATTTCTAATTCAAATACATTTTAAAGTAAAAATTTTGAAAAGTTATTTTTTTATTAAATTAAACCTTAAAAAATGTAGGATTAGTATTTTAAAAATATTTATATCTATTTAGTGTGAATTTTTTTAAGTATTTTTACATTTTAAATGAATCTAAAATAAAAATAAAAATAGATTTTAAATTTGAAAATCAAGTCCCGATCAGTCAGCGATTGGCTTGTCTCCCATTAATCTCGCGTAGAGCTCCTCCAGTGGGTTTACTCACTAATTAGTGTCATACAACAACTGACCCGGTTGATCAAAAAAATACAACAGCTGACCCTGTTAATCAATTAATAAATTGTTTTGATAAAATAGGCCTTCAATGGATTAGTTAAGCCTTAAGTGGCGTGTCAGTTAGCTTTTAGCTTGAATTATTGCTAAGAAAAATAATTGAGATCATTAAAAGTTGTGTTTTAATAGCATCATTAATGATGTGATAATGAGTTATGTCTTGTTTTTTTTTTAACATTTTCAATACATTAGTGTTATTAGTGATTTTTTTTAATAATATAAATCAATGTTATTATTGCTTACTAGCCATGGCCAATTAGCAAAGTGGAAAGAGAGAGAAAATTGAAAAAGAAAAACATAAAAAGGAAGAGAGAAAGAAACTTCTATGCAATAGCTATATTTGGGTGTTTTAGAAAGATGATAAAAAGTTGATTTTTGACTTTTTATCAAATTTTTTGACTTTTTTGAAACGTGATTTGAGAAGTTAGTAAAAAATTATTTTTTTTTATATAATATTTATTTATGATGTCATATCACATTAAAATGACAAAAATAACCGATTAAACTTAAAAAATTTACTTTTTAACCCGTGTGATTGTTTGAACAATTATGTTATTTCATAGAAAACAATTACATAAATTCACCACTTGTGTTTTTGTCCCTTCCCAAATTAACCTGCTTTTTTATGCCGCCACCTGCGTTTTTGAAATGCTGCAAAACGTTGCTCACTTCCCAAATTGACACATTGTAAGGGCTAAAAAAAAGGAAGAGAAAGCGAGAGGTGAAAAGAAAAGTGGGTTCCACATGCATTTTTTTTTAATTTTTATTCATGTATATATATATATTTAATACACATCTTAACTATCATTAGAGTACACATTCGCTCTCTAATTAATCAGCACTTAACATATATATATATATAAGTCTCACTTTTTTACATTTTTTTTATCATATAACTCTATGCCGCCACCTGCGTTTTTGAAATGCTGCAAATCGTTGCTCACTTCCCAAATTGACACATTGTAAGGGCTAAAAAAAAGAAGAGAAAGCGAGAGGTGAAAAGAAAAGTGGGTTCCACATGCATTTTTTTTTATTTTTTATTCATGTATATATATATATATATATATATTTAATACACATCTTAACTATCATTAGAGTACACATTCGCTCTCTAATTAATCAGCACTTAACATATATATATATATAAGTCTCACTTTTTTACATTTTTTTTATCATATAACTCGTTTTAATTAATAATTTTAACATCATCATTAGAAATGCTTTTAAAAGCTATTGATTGGACTCATAGAATTTACTATATATTTCATTTCGATGATTCGGATAAGTTATTTTATAGAATTATTTGTATATAGTCAATAAAAAAAATAATTTGATTCGAAAATTGTAACATTTCTATTTTATTACATTTATTTAGAAAAAAATATTTTTAAAATAAACTTATCATTTTTTTTTAACACAAATACATTAATTATAATTATTAATTTATTTTATTTTTGTTTATAAATAATTATAAAACAAACAATTGTGATTATCAAACCACATTTGTGCGACTTTACAAGTTCAATACAATACTTTCAAAGGCTTATTTTAAGAAATAAGTTAAAAGTTAATTTTTAATTTTTTGTATTTTTCTTAAAAAATTATATAAAGAATGAAAAGATAATATAATTTAAAAAATATTAAAAAATAAAAAAATTAATTTTTAGCCATGTTGTGAAAATATCAATCAACCGTGGCCTAACTTGTGATCAATTGTCCCTTTGACGCGTCACTTTAATTGTGATATTTCTTAGCCTTTCCTTCCTGCGTACGTTAGCGCAATTACCTAATAGGCGCGAATAGAAGCTACAAGGAAAGGATCCTGATTCCCCCAAAACGCACTACTATTTTCTCTCTTTCTCTCTCTAAATTATTGTTTGGTAAGGTCTCTTTAATATCTCTTTCTTTCTCTTTTCTCGACACTTTCGAGTCTCTAATATAGACTCTTCTCCACATTTCAGCTGTGGAGATTTTCTCGATCACTCTTCTTAGCTGCAATGGATATGGAAATCGACGAGTTTGCTTCACACTACTCTCAAGCTGATAACAAGCTTAAACCCAAAGAGGTGATATTTTGCAACATAAAAATAAAAATTAAAAAGCCCTCTTTTTTTTTTTTTTTCCTTAACCTTTTATTCATTGATGAATCGGTGTGTTCACTCCAATGACATGTGATTGATCGACTGACACATTGAAATTTGATTTGATTTGTTGATTGTTTGACTGTGATTGATCGTCTTATCCTTGACTGTTCGAGTTTGTTCGTTTGATTTTACTGCTTGGACTTTATTGATTAGGTTTTGTTTGGATCATCTGTCTATATATATATATATATGTATGTATGTATGTGTATCCAATGATTATTTTATAGGTATGTATAGCGTGGAGACACATGATAAATTGCTCAGAATTATTGGGTAAATAATAATTTATTTACACGCAACAGATAGAAGGTGATTACAATTCCCTTGCTTGGAACTTAACAAGAAGCCGACATTTTGTCACAAATGGTATACATAGATTTCTTAGGATGTTAATTGGAGTGAGTTAAAAACAGGTTTAAGTTGAAGGGTTATTCGTATAATTAGTTATGCGGTTTCCAATTCTAAGTTTTGATGATGGCAAACTAATCTCTTTTGCTTTACTATAATTAGTTAAAACTCATCTTTTCATTTTCTCCCCCTTTTAAATGACTGTGGCATAGAATCAGAGCTAACTTTAGGGTTGTAACCATGGTTTTAAATAAAGGTATCAGATCCATATCGATAATAAAGAGTATTGCTTGATATCAAACAGTATCAGCTGATATATGAGTGAATCAATAGTGTTGGAAGTTCACAATTCTGTTATGTAACGGACGATAGTTAAAAAACCCTGGTTGTAACATTGCATGCTTTGTGAATATACATTTGACCCGTCTCTCTTCAGGATGCTGTGGCCAAGGATTTTGAGAAGTCTACTATTGTAGTGGGATCAACGTCTGGATCTCTAAATTCAGTCAATCTCAATGGTTCAAATTCAGATCTGTCATTTCATAATGATAATGATGCCAATGTTGCAATTGATGAAGGCGACGATCTTTCTTGTTATGATGATAATGACGATTATATGTATGACGACACCTACTGTGATTACATGATGAGTATGCAAGCCCAATTTGATAATGTGGATTTGCCTCCTGGGGTAGAGGCATCAGTTTCTTGGTTGAAAAATTCTGCTCCAAGTGCAAATGCCCCTGCTTCTACTAGCGCTTCACCCCCCAGTGATGCCGTGGGTCAGCCTTCAGGGGAAGGAATTTCTTCCTTAAAAATTTACGATCCAGCCAATGGCAAAAATGAGGCTGATATCACAAGCAGTTCAACAGTGATTGCAGAATCAAGTTCCGTTGGGAAAGAGCAAGAAGAAAAAGATGATGAATTTCTCAGAAAGTTTCAACTTTTTAAACGGTTTGATACTGTTGATGATTTTTCGGATCATCACTTTAGCCGTCTAGGCATGTCAGGCCAGCAGGTAAGTTTAGTTACGTTAGCCTGCACATGTGTTACATGTTTGCCTTTGTTTGTGTTCATGTATGTGCCTTTTTAATCTTCTATCTGCTGTTTTCCTTGATAGCCACCCAAGAGTTGGACAAAGAAAATTCAGGAAGAATGGAAAATCCTGGAGAAGGACTTACCTGGTGAGTTCTGACTTCTGTTCATTCAGTTATCTGGTGGATGGATTTGAAAATTACATATATACATGTGTACTGGGGTGAACCTTACCCACCAAGTTTGTTTATTTGGAGTGGACTGCAATATGTAGTGCACATATTACAACAGTGTTTCGTCCTTTTCATGATACTGGAGCGAACAATTTAGTTTATATGTTAAATTTTGTTTGCAAGACCAAGTTTTCTTGGCATTCTCTAGGAATTTTATAGTTTACCCATCTCTCTCTCTCACTTATCATTTTTCTTTCACATAGATATGATATATGTAAGAGTTTATGAAACAAGGATGGATCTTTTGAGGGCCATCATTGTAGGACCAGCAGGCACTCCTTACCATGATGGTCTGTTCGTCTTTGACGTGTTATTCCCTCCTACCTATCCTGATATACCACCGGTATGTACTTGGTGGTTATATTATTGTTTGATTATTATCGTATTTTCCATTGTGAATAATAGAGGTTGCTTCTTTCTCTCAGATGGTTTACTACTATTCTGGTGGCCTTCGACTAAACCCAAACTTGTATGATTGTGGGAAAGTCTGTCTCAGCCTCCTGAACACATGGAGTGGTGACAAGAATGAGATGTGGATGCCAAAGAAATCAACCATGTATCAAGTTCTTGTCTCTATACAAGGTTTGATATTGAATGCAAAGCCCTTTTTTAATGAGCCTGGGTATGCCAATATGTATGGTGGGCCAGAGGGAGAAAAGAGATCAAAAGCTTACAATGAGGATGTGTTTATTCTATCTCTGAAGACAATGATGTATACACTGAGGAGACCCCCAAAGGTATGATTTTTCACATCCTCCTTATCAGCATCCTTCTGTGTTTACAATGTATTTTCCTTGCCTAGATGTTGGATTCATAATTTTTCAAGGTAACGTGGAATTTTTTGCTACATATTTGGCTCTAGAAGATAATAGAAGATAATGATGCACTGTTGAATGAATCTGTGATCATGACTGCAAATGGGCACAGCTAACTTGGCTTCTCAGTAGCTGAACCCAAATAGGATGATTACTTATTCTTGCCTAGGCCTGACTTGTGGGGCTTGTTTTGTAAGTTGTATAGTAAGCTGAGAGAAATTAATGTGTTTAAAAAATAAAAAGACACTATTATGGCTCAGCTCTGTTTAAGCTTCGTTAATTGTAAAACTGAGATGATGATCATGCACCTGGTGTTATTTATGAGAAGGGGAAAAAAAGCACTACCTCATATTCCAGTAAACTAAGCTCATTTACATTGTCTGAGATTCTGAGGTTTATCAATTACCCCCTTTGGCAAAGGTCTGTGGTTTGGCAGTTAATCAACTTAACTCCATATGCTTCAACCACAACTGATCAGGGCTTCTTTTTAATCTTTCAGTTCACTGTTACAATTGTGAGTCACTAAGCAACAAGAATATGTCATGTCATGTTGTGTCCGACACTGGTTTGAAAACCAACACATCATGTAATTGTTCACACTTTTGCTAACACTTGTCGGTTATGAGCACCAACACTTCAAAATAAGTGTTGTAGTAGCGTAAGCAGTATGGACACAGGACACAAGGATTTTGAAAAAATTAGGATACTGTCATGGTGGGTATATGGCAAATATATATATATATATATTTATTTGCTATGTATATGAAAATAAATTTAGGGTACATAGATATAAGAGACATCAATATATATGAGTCTATTTCTATTTTTTTTTGGGTCTGCTTTCAGCAGTCATATTTGGAGGTCTATTATAATTTGGAAACATGAGAGATGAATTTAAAAATATATATATATAACTCATCAATACATAGTGCTAATTTGATTTTAGTGGCTAGATGGGAGTATTTTGCACTCAGTTCATGGCTCACTCTATAGGTTGGAAAGCATGCAACCCTTTGTGGCCAAAATTAGATGGTTGTGGTATCACCATATCCAAATGAGCATTTCTGTATTCAAAAATATATTCAAACTGGTGAAGTTAGTAATAGAATCGGGGGCTTTCTGATCCACACCAGTTTTTCAATTCCAACCATGGGTATACAGCCTTTATATAACCAAGGCCCTTATCCATTCACTGAGGCAATTCCACATATGAATGCTTATACACGTGGACGAACACACCAAAGCATTTGAATGCGGAAAAATCTAGAAATTTTGCCAATATTCAATATTATAATATATATTTTGCCAATATCCAATATTATATTTTTTTGGAGTCATTATGGGAGAAGGTGTGTCACTCAGCTTCTTTTTGGGCTCATGTGTGTCCCCCATTCAATGGGATACTCCTCTTTCTACTTTCCATTGATTGGGGAGCTGTTTGTCAATAATAGTTTAGGGTGGATTTCTTGTTTGATCTTTTAGTTAGCATTTGTTTTCGTCTTTGTTTGAGGACTTCTTGTCCTCTGTCATTGTTCTTTCTATTCAATAAAATTTCTTTTGTTGCTTCTCAAAAAAATAATATTTATTTGATATTATAATATATCCTTTCTGGTTATCAGATCAATTTGTGTTTTCTTGCAGCATTTTGAGGACTTCGTTACTGGTCATTTTCGTCTTCGCGCACATGACATTCTGTCGGCATGTAAAGCTTACATGGCAGGTGCTGAAGTAGGGTCTGCAGATGAAGAAGTCCAGGATACTGATAAGGCAGAAAAGAACCAAACTTGTGAATTCAAGGCAGCAATAGCTAGAATGATGAATAGTCTAGTTACAAACTTCAGCAAAAATGGATCGAAGGACTGTGAGCAGTTCCGTCTTCAAGGTTGATATCTGGTGAGGCTGATGTTGGGGCTAATGCATGGCAGGTTGGGCCTTTTAAGTGCCTTTTGGTAGTCAAGTTTTTGATGATACTGCACAGATACCACTATAGAGGAATATCTTTGGGATTCAATATAGGTGTAAATAAGGTAGGGTATTTTAGGGATGAAAACAAATGTTCTAGTCGTATAGTTTATTGCATCTCATCTCTAAATGAAATGAATCTGGCTTTCTTGTTTATGCTCACTAATGCCATCCTTCCCATTTAGTAAATGCTTCATTATATCATTGTTGTGTTTTTGAAGCTTAAGTGGGGTTTTGGCAAATTTTATGCTCTTATTATGGGCTAATTTGTATGAATGACACTGATAATATTATGCAACTATTAATGTGTATACCATTAAGTGGCAATCGTCCAACTGAGTGTATGGTGCGGATATCTTTGATCTTTATCTAATTTCACTTTTATATTTATATGTTTATTGCTTTGGTGGAATGCGATGATGATTGTATAATTATGAATATTTCTGGTATTTCCTTTAATGGCTTGTGGAGCTAACATCGTTTGCCGACACGTGTTGTTGAAAATATCATACACCAACTGATTTTTTATTAGATTTTCTTACTGTTAAACACAAAGGCAATGCCTCTCACACGTATTTATTAATGTGGGCTAACTATTATTGACTGGGATAAGAAAATTTGATAAAAAGATACGTTTATATATAGCATTACCCTTGATAGTATTTTGTGTGAGGTTTGCCAGCATATGCTTTGGTGCCACCACGACACTCTTTTGAGTACCCTGTTTGGTTCCAGCAAAACCTTGGCATGTAGTTCAGGTGCATCCATCCAAGGGTCAACACCTTGATGCCATACACATTTGTGCCATTTAGACAGCTGAAGACATGCCTAAGAAGTTGTTGGTGCAAGTGCAAGTAAAGGCCCAGGGCATAGTGCAAGATAATCCAAAACATGCCATGAAGCAATCAAGCCACCAAGTAGCAACTTTGGGCCACTTTTTAGAGGGTCAAATGTAATTTTTTTGTCTTGTAAATTTTTATGTAAATACCTTAGTATTAAAGGTATTTTGGGATCAAGAGTTGTAATTTTTCTCTTTTTGTAGAATTTTTAAAAATCTATTATGACTCCTCAAACATAGTGGATGTTTCCTCCTGTCAGTTAGGAAATGGCTTAATAAGCTATATTAAGGAGGGGGTACTCAAGTGTCGAATCAGACCACTTGTGCCTTTAATGTACCCCAACCTAGCTTATGGTAAGGCAACTTTTATAGCACTTTTAGTACATTATTCAACTATTGTAATGCATTCTTTTGAGTAATGAAAGTTTATTTCGCCTTTCAATTGTTGCTTACTTTAATTCTAACTTGTTGATTGCTATTTTGTGCCTTGTCTCCAATTTTGTGGCTCATCAACTTAATTAATATTGTGTTTGCTTGTCTTTGCAAACCTTTTGAGCATTATTGACGGGTTAGTGAAGAGAGTTAACTAGCACTACACACACTTGCATATCTTGACAAGGCTTTTGCATTGCCGGTGTGTGACACAAGTTTATGAACTGAGCAGACCAAGTACAGTTTTATGACAACATTCCTAACACTCTGTTGCGAGAGATATTCTGTAACACTCTGTTTTCTGAGAGAGATTTCTGAGAGAGATACTGTGTAACACTCTGCTGCTTTGAACATTGAATTCTTCTTCGGATCTTCTCAAGGATTTTGGAGAATCAGGGTTTATTCACTAGTTTTATCTCGGGTGTCTGGTTTCCCTATCATTTTCTCCTATACAAAAACATTTGTTTGTTTCTCATAGAAAGTTTTGAGGAATTGTTTTTTGCAAAATCTTTGTAGTTTTGGTACGTGCTACCAGGTAGAAATAATTTCGGAAAATCCCATTTCTAAAACTCTCCCTCTCTCTTTCTCTCAGAGGGACTTATTCGTTTGCTGCTTTTTGGCCATCCCTCCTGAGTTTTGATTTTCTTTAAACTGCCGAGGGTCTAAAACTTGAACTGGAATATTATTTTTATTGAAAAAGTACCAGAAGTCCCACAGACGCAGAACATATTGAGGCAGATGGCCTTGACCAAGCCATCGGCAATAGCCATATTGCTATCTGCATATAAACACACATTGGAATATGGCTTTAAGCATAGATGGGTATATTAGGGCTCGGCTTTTAGTTTAGACCTGAGAGGACTGACCAGCTTAAAACCAACTAACTAGTAACTAAGCTGGAACTTCTCAAATGACTTTGAGGAATCCAAGGGCGGCGTCCCTAACCTTATGTGGCGGAGTGGCAGGTGTAAGCTGCTCAAACTCTGCTTTCCATTCGGCTATACACTTCTCCCTTTCTTTTCCTTCCACCGGAATGAATGAGAGAGTCACCCTGTCTGGATCATACATTTTCCTCAGGTCAACTCCAATGACACTGTATGTTACAGATCGCCCTATCTCCACTCTCTGTATCTTCTCTGTTGATTCTGTGACGTAGCCACTCACAGCTGCATAAGGTCATCATCATGTCAGAAATTTGCATCAAATTAGAGTTTATCGCTATGACTAAACGCCTGCAGACCAATTGGGCTGTTGTATTTGTATGTGAGAGAGAGAGAGAGAGAGAGAGAGATTGACCAGAGCCAAGCTTGAAAAGCCTGAGACTACCTGGGTTGCCATCTCCATTGACGTATTCGGCAGCAGCCAGCATTTCGGGGTTGATTTTGCTGATGATCTCATTGTCCCTGCACATTTTCTCTGCCGGGACGTTCAGCACAACCTCTCCTTTCATGCTCTTCATCTTTCTCTTTCGACCATCGGAGGTGGCACCAAAGTGAGGATTTAGAAAGATTGGTGGTGTGGGGATAAGTCCTTGGAACCCTCGCCAATTTTTGTTATGGCAATGGTGAGGCAGTTTGTTTTCTGAACAGGGCAGACTTTAAATGGAGGGTTAAGAGATTCTCTCTAGGTGTGATTTTACTTTAAAACTATGGATATGCAACAAAGCTCATACGAAGCTCTCACCTGATTAACCAACCCCACAAACAAACAAAACAGAAAACAGAAAGTGAAACTAAATAAAGCAAAGTGGCTTGCAGGTGAGGATGCTCATAATAACCTTTTTGTGGCCTTGGCTCAAACATATCCATCTCGCTTTTCAATAGACGCAGATCTCTTCAAAAACAAAGACAACAATGGGCTTCATTGATATCAAAGGTTCCTCTGAAAATGTAACACACAAGAAGAGGCTTCATGGTTCATTTACTAATTAACTACTTTTGACCTTGGATTTGTCCAGGATTTGTTGATGGAAAAAAAAAAATGAAAAATGAATGATATTTGTAAATGAAATAAAAACATATTATTTTAGAAGTTTGTGGACTCAAGGTGACAGAAATACCAAATTTTTTCATTTGTCTACAATAATTAAAAGGAGGAGATTGAAAATTGATATGCTCAAATCTGACAATGGTGAGTGGGTGGATCAGACTCATGATCTAAAAGTTTTAAGTCAAATTGTTTTCCACTAATTTGTTTAAACCCACTCCCACTATTAGACTTGATCACTGGAATGGGTTTTTTTTTTTGGGTGAATAAGTCATAAATAAAAAACAAGGATACACAACTACTGGAATGGGTTAATTGCTTGTAAACTCACGGCTGCGGATAATGAGGAGATCTGCAGAAGGGTTACTAATAAGGAGATTTGGATGGCTGTCAAGAATTTTAAAGCGTTCAAAACTCTTGGCAATGATGGATTTCAAACAATTTTTTACCATACTTATTGGAACGTTGTTGGTCCTTCGGTATGTGAGTTTATTGAGAATTGCTTTCGTACCAATTATGTCCCTAGAGAGATGAACAAGACATTGATTGCTCTTATCCCTAAGGTTGATAACCTTGAGAATATTAAATAGTTCCGGCCTATTAGTCTTTGTAATGTGACTTGCAAAGTTATTACTAAAATTATTGTGAGCCACATTAGACCTTTTTTAACCAGCATTGTCTGACCCAACCAAAGTAGCTTTGTCCTTGCGCACACTACTAGCAATTACGTCATTATCACCCAAAAAATTATTCACACTTTGGTGGATAAGAAGAAGAAAAAAAGGGAATTGATTTAAAAAATCGACATTGAGAAGGCTTATGACAATATCTCGTGGAATTTTTTTGCAACAAACTCTTCAAGAATTTAATTTTTATCCTAATCTTATTATGCTTGTTATGAGTTGTGTTACCATTGTTCAATCTGCTATCTTGTGGAATGGTGAGGTTCTGGAGGATTTCACTCCAAGGAAGGGTTTGAGGCAAGGAGACCCTTTGTCTCCTTATCTATTTGTACTCTGTATGGAACGGTTATCTAACATGATTTGCCACAAGGCTGCCATTGAAAATTGGAAAGGCATTTCCATGGGAAAAGGGAGCTCGTGTATCACTCATTTGTTTTTTGCCAATAATTTGCTTTTTTTTGCATCGGCGAACCTCACAAGTTGTGAGAATATCATGGAAACTCTTAATGAGTTTAGTGATATCTCTGGCCTCAAAATTAATACTCACAAGTCCAAAATGTTCGTCTATCCGAATGTGCACCGAAACTAGGCCCGAAACCTTAGCTCCATGTGTGGTGTTCCTTTAACTATGGATCGAGGAAGTACCCAGGGGTACCTCTTCTTCAAGGTAGAGTTAGTCCCAATCTTCTTAACTCTATCTTGGAGAGAATGCAAAAACTACTCACAGGCTAGAAAATTGATACTTTATCATTGGCTGGGAGTGCCACTCTCATCCAATTAGTCATTTTGGCCATTCCAGCTTACACAATGCAAACCATGAATATTCCCATAAGGGTGTGTGATGATATTGATCGTTTGAACAGGAACTTCATTTGGGGTGATACCTTGGAAAAGAGGAAAATAAACCTCATCAAGTGGAATAAGGTTTGTAGGAAAAAGGAGAATGGTGGGCTTGATATCCAAAGAGCTAGAGATCATAACCTAACTTTCTTACCAAACTTGGTTGGAAAATTTTATGTGATGAAGGAGGTTTGTAGATTGATGTCTTGAAAGCCAAGTATTTGAAGCACAATACTATCAACAATTGGCCTAGGAAAAGGAAAGCCTTTCACATTTGGAGACAAATCCTGAATGCTAGAAATGTATTGAGTAATGGGGTGAAATGGACCATCGGAGGTGGCACCAAAGTGAGGATTTAGAAAGATTGGTGGTGTGGGGATAAGTCCTTGGAAGAGACTTTTCCCCACCATGTATTATCCAATTCTGCCATTGTTAATTCACTTTTGAATGAGAATAAAGAGTGGGATGTGAATCTAACTAATGACCAAATTCCGGTGGAAGTAATTCCCGACATTTTGTGCATTCATCCCTTGCGGTCATTGACAAACCTTGTTGGAAGGGATCCCAAGATGGGAGTTTCTCTTCCGCTGCAACTTATGATATTGTTGTGGAAAAAGATCAACACGAGTGTGACTGGAAGTGGATGTGAAAATTGAGAATTCCACAAAAAAGGCTTCTTTTGGGTGGTGCTTAATGGAAAACTTCTTACCAATTGTATGCGTATGAAGAGGAGCCTCACGAATGATTCGAGTTGCATTAGTTGCAACAATATGTAAGACATAAACCATGTGTCGAGAACTTGTCCTAAAGCAGGGGAGTTGTGGTCCTCCATTTTAGTACACAGTGGTATTTGAGAATGCTAAATATGCCCTTGATGGATTGGATTAGAGTTAATGTTAAGAACAAAACTCACTTTAACCGATTTACTTCGAAAGGGACTATTTTTCTTGTCACTCTTTGGCGAATTTGGATCAACAGAAACAAAAACAAAAATTCCAAAACAAGAACTGCAATATGTTTGAAAGTCCAAAATTTATTTGAGTTTTCTTTAGAAATACATCAAGCTTTTAGTAGATCTATTGTTATACCTAAACAGTCCTTTGTACTAATTCGGTGGATACCTCCTATTGCAGGTTCAATTAAACTGAATTCGGATGGATGCTTGCGAAAGAGATCAGGAGTTGCAGCTTCAAAGGACTTTTTCAAGATGACAAAGGTGCATGGATTAGTGGCCTATTACGACAGACTAAAAACCTGCACCAGTCTCGAAGCATAATTGTGGGCTGTTAACAAGGTACTTACCATGCTACTTCAAAGAGGATTCACCAAAAAGGTGAAACGGATGCGGAGCAAGTAGTCCAATTGCTAAAGGATGCCCAGGTGACAAATTCCCATTCCGGGAATTAGTGGAGGATGCAAGAATCATTCTGGGAGGATGCGAGTGTGAAGATAAACATGTCATGCGAGAAGGAAATAAGTGTGCTGATGCGTTGGCGAAGCATGGAGCAGTACAATCTGAAAATTTACTAGTAGTTAATGAGCCTCCGGCTGAGATTCACAGCCTCTTGGTTGCAGATATGCTAGGTGTTGGAAAGGAGCGGGTTTAGCCCTGCCATCACCCTTTTTTTATTTCTGTTGTATTGAAGAAAAAAAAAAGGGCATATGAGAACTCTGATACCAAGGAGAAAAATGGCCGAGCACAAGCAGCAACTTTGGAAGTTCTATCTAGATGAGGGGACCATAACCAATAATTTTAAGGCAAGATTTCCAACTGAACTCAAAATGTAGATGCCCCAAAAAAAGACGAGAATCCCATTGGGTCATGACTTTTCCTTTAAAAGTACAATGTTCATGCAACTGCTGAAATTTTTTAAAAATTAAAACATTTTAACAACCAAAACAAATGTAATTCAAGCACTGAGCTTCGAATTGAATGCACTAGAAAGAATATACAGTGGTTCTTATGGTTTTGTCATAACAAGGAGTGTTTTATAGCTGTTGACTTTAGAGGAGAGAAAAGAAGAAAACAATACAAAAGGGAATGCTGTTTTCAGGAATCAGATATTGTGAAATGGTAGAGCACCATTTCTTTTGTCTACTCTCCTGTATGCAAAAAGGCTGCATGGATGACGATTCATTGGCTCTCCCGTGTGCTAAACACCAACATGAATGATGATTCGTGCTTCACACACAACTGAGCTTCCTGGAAGAGTAATCCGAACTGTGTTTAATTTGAGAACACAAAAAGCGAGGGAAATATATCTCTCATGCTTTCTCTGGTCCTTCAAAGCCTGTTTCACAATGCCGAATTGTAAAAATAGTAATCAGTGATCAAGAAATTAGATGGATTTGGTAAGCATCTGAGCCAAAAGATAGGAGTCTAAGAGTTTACCATACTTTAAAAACCACATTGCTATGCTTTGAAGGTTTTAACGCACTACAAATTGCAAAAACCAAAAGTGCAAAATTGTTTAAAAGGAAATAAGTTGATGGGCATGCATAATTTTTATAATCTTATTACTTGGGAAAAAAAGAGAACATTCATACTATTCACAAACTATTTCTTATTAAGCAATTGACATGGGTGCAGGGTGCCCCATCACAATGCAGAGAACAACACTGTTATTTAACCAGCAAAGAAAGTGAGCATTTAAGCCATTGAATGCTTCCACTGTAATTTCAGTGTATGAGTGACAATCACCAACCACAGCATTTTATAGAGGAAAACGCTTAATTAACCAGCAAACAGAGCAACCATTTTGGCAAAGCATCTCTTCTGTATTTGTCTGTTTTGAGGCACTTTGGCAGCAATTGAACTAAGCATGTGAAAACTTCTACATTTTTAATTGCTACAATTAAGATAAATTTGGGGAGATCTTGTTTGTAGATTACAGTTCGTATTCAAATGGATAACAAAGTAGTGTAATATAAAATTGTTGGAAGGTAACTAATCATCTGAATGAATTCAGTAGAATCGTGCTGTCTTGAAGAACAGTAAGATAATCTTGATAGATTTCCAAAGTAAACGTGAAATGTATAAATGTAACTGTGCTGGTGGAGTAATGCTGGCATTCATCTGGTTTGCTGGTCAAGCATGAGCTAGTTCATCAATCTTCGGGCTTCGATTACAAAAAAAGAAAAGAAAAAAAAGACTAGATTAAAAGAAGCCTGGAATTGGTACTCTTATATGTATTTGTGGTTGATGAATCAGCACCAGGCAGATTGTTATCTAGAGTTTGTATCGTACAAGAACACAGTATGGCGTCGATCAGAATAGGTATGCACAAGAATTTGCCAGAGGGAGAAATTGAATCCCGGAATCCAGTCTACTTTCTGGATTTGGAAAATTTCAGATTTCCCAGGACTAAGTTTCTCTTATTATTTCATCCATGCTAGACATGTTGACCAAACACTCCCCAACAGGGCATGCACTTGAGAAGAAATTTTTTATTAAATGAAAAACAAATTCTGAGATATGAACCAGTTACCAGGATGGAAACAAAGCAAATTCATGGACTGGAGCACTGTGTTTGGTCCAGCTCTGTGCTTAACATATGATGGAGGAGGATATCAATTCTCTGACTCCGCGTTTTTGATCTGCGCCACACAAACAATTTTATCAACCCAGATCATCTAAAGAGAGATTCTAAAAAAATATTATAAGATTGACAACTTCACTGCAGCACGCACCCAATGGAATGGCGCCTGTCCTTTCCTGCTTCCTGCATTGAGAAGGCAAGTGATATTACTTAGCATTGATTATCTAGGTAGAATAACAAATGTGTCTATATGTGATAGGTAATATATATAATATATGTCACAGGGTACATGCAAAGAAAAGATTTGGTTTAAGAACCAAAATGCATGGTCTCATCCCAACAAATGGAATTCAGCAACATAAATAGTTTTTATTGATGAATTCAAGCTTCCTTCTTCGTGAAAAAACTGAAGTATGATGCATCGACTATGCTTGGGTCAGCCGGCATGTTCTATCACATATGTGATAATCCAGAAAAACATAATAGGAAATACAAGACCACTTGGTGCAACTTCCATTTTGTGCATTAGAAACCTAAATTACCTAATATAAAAGGGCAACCTAGAGCATGAGGCTCTCGCTACTGTGGGGTTTGGAAAGGATCAGATGACAGTTGTACACTTCTTGCGGACACTATTTGGAAAAAATAACTTATGAACTTTAAAGTCTGGAAAGTAGTCCTATGCTCTTTGAAATATGTGTGGACAACTAACTCCTAATTATCAAAACACTAATCATAGGGCACCACAGGTTCGTAAGTATGGCAACAGAAGTTTGCAGAATCTTTAGATGGAGTCCTCTCTTTGACACATGACAGGATTGTTTATGGAATTACTCATTTCAAGAGTAAAACAGCTTTCTTTTCAAAGGTAATTGCCTTGAACTTAATCTGAATTGGAATTGGAATCAATTTAGGAATACAAAAATGGCATGGCCCAACCCTACCCAAGCCCAATTAAGTTCCCGTCAAAATCAGGTCAGGCTGACTCATTTCCAAAGGACCGAGGCCCAACCCAAAGCCCTAGGCCCCAGGACTTGGGTCTTCAGGAAAAAATTTCATGAGTTATTAGTGTTTATTTGTGTCACTTAATTCACTTATATTAAGTTCATTAACTGATTCAACTTCATATTTAGTTAATAATTATTTTATAATTTTTTAACATGTTTAAGTTATGATAACTATACATACTTTATAGTTTAAATTAATTCAGGCAAATTTGTGTGTGATGGTGTGCATGAATCTAAATTCTCAAAATCAAAAATATTTATTTACATGGGGTACTTTTTGTTTTACTATTTCATAATGAATGTATGCAAATATGAACAAATATGACAATTAATAAAACAATCAATAGACACAAGTAAATCAGCATAAAATTAGAAACAAAAAATTAATATTTCCAAATGTGGAAAAAAAAAATCACTTCTTAAGAAATTATTCAAATAGCACTTTTGAAGGAAATCTTCAAAATGCACTTATGAGAGAGGGAGAGAGAGTTCAAAGAGCTGAGAGATATAATTTATTTTGCGGGGGGTTGGGTTTTTACAGCCAAAAAGAGGAATTAAAAAATAACAATTGACTGTTAGTTGGGGGGCCAATACTCGGCCAATTTTTTAATTCCACCTTTATTTTTGAATTTCCAGGGTAGGTTGGGTCTGGAAGGCCCTAGGACCCATCATACAACACTGGGCTTAGGGCCGAGCCATCAGGACAGGTTTCATATGCCTCGGCTCAATCCCCACATGGAAGGTTCGGGCCTGCCCTATGGTGGGCCTGGGCCAAGCTTATGCCTGACAGGTAGAGGGCCATATTTACATCCTCAGAATATAAAATGAAATAAAATAAAAAACATGCAATACCATTGTAGACAGGTAGAGGGATATTTTCATCCTCAGAATCAATAATACATGCAAATATCATTGTAATTTTTCAAGGAAGGTTAAGTAAAAGCAAAGTGTGGATGAAATTACAATTTTATAATTTCTTTCCATAAAGGGATTGTAGCTTTGATTTCCATTTCTAACCTTATGCTATTCTTTCCTTCATTTTTTTTTGGTTTCCTTTTTTAAATAATTGGATGTTATAGGTACCAACCTTCCCCACGGCTTCACAATTCTCTGAAGTTTCAAGTTCCATTTCAGCAAAGAATGCCTCTAAGACAAATGCCATGACCTGAAATTATATCAAAGCAATGATTTGACATCATTATTTTTAAGAGATTGACCAATGAGGAACTTGCAAAAATTGCATCAAACAAAGCAAAACAATTGAAATAGTAATGAGATGCCATTCAAGATCACTCATATACAAATCAATCTTCCCTAAATTCAAATGCTACTATGCTATGTCCATCATCAAAAGTCACTCATCCAAACTGAAATTCCTTAAAAAAATTAAAATTAAAATCATTTTGTGGTAGCAATGCGACGTGCAAAATCTTAGGCTCTGTTTGGTACAGCTTTGGAACGTTAGTTCTAGGATTTATTCTGCACATGATGTTTGTTTACGAGTTTCAAAAATTAATTCCACACTCACTTTTGAAAACTCGGTCGAAGGTGGGAAAATTTGGGCTAACTGGTTGTCCGGCTGGTTGACCGGAACAGTGCAAAATTATTATTATTTTTTTTAAAAAAAAAAATTTATCTTTTTTTTTATATTTTTTTGCAATTGACACTTTTTAATTTTTACATATTCAACAAAAAATATTTTCCAAATTTTTTAAAATTTTTTATGAGTTTTAATAGAATTTTGAGTTGTGTGTTTGGTTATGAATTTTAAGTTTTTGTATCAAATATCATATGTCACATCAAAAATTCCCCACTCAATTCAAAACTCTTTTCAAAACTCATTCACTAAACAAATTTTCCACACTCAAATCATAATTCCAAAACTCACAAACTCAAAATACAACTTTTATTCTCAAATCATATTTAGAAAACTCTACCAAACACTACCTTAAATTTTTTAGCTAGTACTAAAGTTTGTGTATGATTCAAAAAAATGAACAAAAAAGCCAACACAATAATTTTAACTTCTTCACATTCCTTTACTGCAGTATTATTGATAACTCATCATGAACCACTTTTTAACATGCAAAATATATTTTTTAGTAAATTTCAAAGCTAGCATAAATATAAATTATTGCAACTCTTAAATCAATCAAAATAAACATAGTTTTGATGCCTATCAAATATGTTCCTGAGATCCTTCTAAATAATAACCAGTCAAAACGCCAGATTCAACAATAGCATTGTTGGAAAATTTGCTAAACATATGTTCCAAATGATTCAGATAAAAGATACAGAATCCCAAATTGAACAACAATTCATATACATGTATATAGGTAAGCATGCTTCCTTGAATATGCATGTGATTGCATGAAGTACATGCATGCATAGTGTTCCATTAACCTTGTTCTCAAACTTTTGTGATATTTGCAAATGGATTGATCTATCCTAAGATGGGATTCATCAGAAAAGCCCTAAATAAATTATAAATAAATAAAAGAAGAAAAGAAAAGAAGAAGTCGTCATCCCAGTTACTCCTTAATAAAGATACGAAGCAGGAGATCCAAAGGTTGGACTTCTTGAAGAACCCTGTGAAAAATAATTTGTTTATATTCTTTATGCGCTACAGAAGTCTTCGGGACTTAAAATGTTTATTCGCAAATTGGAAATGCCTCTCAAATCCCTATAACTTATGCAGCAAACCTATATTATCAACTGGCTTAGTGATTCCAAAATCATGCTGTCGGTTGTCGTATTGGACATCTCCAATTTTTTTAAAGACACCCCAATTGCTAAACATTGAGGGTGAATTAGTGATTATAATTTCCGACTTTGTCCTCCAATTACTTAAATATAAAACACGAACACATATTAAGATATGAAGTTTTTGGTGTTGCCAATGACATGAGGAACAAAATAAAATTCTTGCAAACTATTAGAAACAATGATTTATAAGTTTTCTAGGGTTGACACATGCCATTCTGCTATACAGGGGACGCTTTGCTCCCAGGAGGAAAAAGATGTCCAATTTGGCATAGATATCGTATATCCATGTCCTACCATATAATGTCAATTACATATGCATCCCATCTCACCCCCAATGGTGTCCATGACCAGTGTAAAATCTTGCTCCAAGTTGAGGGAAAGTGAATTTTCCATTCATAATTATTCATGTACATGTGTGTATTTATGTGCACACCATTGGAGATTTATGGCCATCCTGGTTAATTTTTATAGATAACTAAGGGTTTGTGCATTTTCAATTTGTTAGACTGATTTTTCTCCACTGTTTCCTCGTTTATATGCTTCTTAATTCTTATCATTCCCTTTGTTTCTATCATTTATTCAATTCCAAAGCTTGTGCCAGTATTTTACCATGTTATTAATAATTTGACCCCGAAAGACAAATTCAGAATAAATTCTGGTTTTCAAAGTATTATATCTCTTCAACACCTATAGCTCAAGAAAAGAATCGACTATTTAAGCACCACTGACAAAGACTTACCAAATTCAAAAGCAACAAAATCGTTATTAGATAGAAGCTGACAAAATAGGCATATGTCCAAGAAGTTCCTGTCAATTCCTTGTAACTCTGAAAGGTAAAACTATAAGTTTCAGTGATTCCAAACACAACAGAAATAGATAGATATGCCTTCATTCATTAAACTATTATTAATATAGAACAGTAATGAGGACAAAAAAAGACCTACAAAAAGAAAAAGGGCAACAAGTTATGGCAATGGCAACGGCTTCACATTGTCGTTTCATGTTTTGACAAAATCTTGAGGAACTGCCAACAGGATTTCAGTCTGTGGTTGAACTTCTATATAGCACATACTGTTGTAATATATAACTATATTTCAAAATACAAACCTATATTCGAATTGGGAAACATTTGGTTTTAAATTCTGTGGCCAAATGGTCATCAAGCCTTTTGACTGAACACATACAAGTGACCAACGGTCACTGATCATTGGAAACTCTCGAAAGGGCCAACAGTTTCTTTATCTTCGGACCATTTGGTTTATTAAAATAAGTGACCATAATAACCATTTACCCATTAGTCATTGTTCTAACATTAACAAATTTAAAATGAAAAAGTTGCATCTTTTCACTAAAAGTCACATCATCCACGATAAGAGGGTAGCGTCTTGTATTGTTTTGTAGATAAAGTATACTTCCTTCAACCGTATACGACACAGAGAAACCAACCATTTTCCAGACAATACACTTCATTAGCACTTAACACGCAGGGACTATTTTAATACTTTGTATTCTAAGTCTTCCATTGTTTGATACTCTATTTTTTTATTGTTAAAAAGAAAAAGTTAACTCTGAAAAGTAAAACTATAAGTTTCAGTGATTCCAAACACAACAGAAATAGATAGATATGCCTTCATTCATTAAACTATTATTAATATAGAACAGTAATGAGGACAAAAAAAGACCTACAAAAAGAAAAAGGGCAACAAGTTATGGCAATGGCAACGGCTTCACATTGTTGTTTCATGTTTTGACAAAATCTTGAGGAACTGCCAACAGGATTTCAGTCTGTGGTTGAACTTCTATATAGCACATACTGTTGTAATATATAACTATATTTCAAAATACAAAATTATATTCGAATTGGGAAACATTTGGTTTTAAATTCTGTGGCCAAATGGTCATCAAGCCTTTTGACTGAACACATACAAGTGACCAACGGTCACTGATCATTGGAAACTCTCGAAAGGGCCAACAGTTTCTTTATCTTCGGACCTTTTGGTTTATTAAAATAAGTGACCATAATAACCATTTACCCATTAGTCATTGTTCTAACATTAACAAATTTAAAATGAAAAAGTTGCATCTTTTCACTAAAAGTCACATCATCCACGATAAGAGGGTAGCGTCTTGTATTGTTCTGTAGATAAAGTATACTTCCTTCAACCGTATACGACACAGAGAAACCAACCATTTTCCAGACAATACACTATCATCTCTTATTTTTCATCAGTCACCTTGCAATTTACATTTCCAGAATTTTTATACCAGTGGTCCAAAATGGTTTCCAATAGAAAGAATTTTTCTATCTCTCATTCACAAAGCAAGATTATTTTTTATTTTTACACTGTTTCCGTGAATCCTCTGAAGTTCAATTTCTAGTGTATTTTCATATGACTTGGGGACAATCAAAGAGTGGTCCAAGATTCATCCACATTTGTGAGTGTGTGCTTGTAGGAAGCTATATAACCTGTTCTACTGGGTCCTGCACTCAGATGGGGGGAAATTTACTTTTAAGGACAGTGGCCACAAGCCTCTGTCGATAAGTCTTTCTGTCGTTCTCATTTAATTTTGTGTCACAGCAGTATCTTGCATATTAAGTACACAACACACACAAACCTAATCCAAGGACAACCTATGTTTTTTATGCAACAGCTATAATATACCCACTGCAATGTCCTTATTATCTAGTGTATGTGACAGACATCCTGTTGCACAGCTCAACTCTACCATGAGCCCAGTCTTTAATAAAATCAAACAGTTTTCTACCACTTCTACTGTTTTTTACATGCAGTACACCATGTCTCACAATTGAGTGTTATGTTTCAACAATCTTAGCTCCTGTTATAAATGAAAGGTTCCATCCTTCAAGAAAGCAAGCACATCCCATCACTGACACAAAATTCACTTTACCTCTAACCAAACTGTGTTGTTAAAAACTTTAAAACACAGAGTTCAATTCAACTCAGACCCATTATTGTTACTTTTCATTCATCTCAATCTGAGGCTATTTTATCACATTCATAAAATGTTACCATAAGTTTTGATGCTGGTTGTCAACTTACAGTCTGAGAAGCACGGATACGGATACGGATACGGATACAGGATACGGGTACAATACGATACGGATACGACGATATAACAAAATTTGAAAAAGTAGGATACGGATATGGCGAGAATACGTCCATAAAAAATATTATTTTTACAATTTTTAGTAATGTAGAATACATAAAAATAAAACTTCAACAGTAATATGTAGCATACATAAAAATAATACTTCAACAAATTTTAGTAATGTAGCATACATAAAAATAAAACTTCAACAAATTTTAGTAATGTAGCACACATAAAAAATTTACCAGGTTCATTTATTCATCAATAAGTTTATTTATTTATTTATCCAGACCAGACAGAGTTTATAAGTTTACAAAGTTCATTAGTAAGTTTATTTATTTATTTATTAATAAGTTTATTTATTAGTAAATTTTTCACCTTATTTTATTTATTTTATTTTATCATACAGGTAACACCGTAATACATACAAAGTTCATTTTTTTATATTTTTTTTAATTTTATCTTATTTTATTTATTTTATTTTACAGAGTATACATACAAAAAAAAATGTGACTGGAAAGAGAGAGCGAGAGATGATAGATAAAGGGAGAGGGAGAGGGAGAGGGAGAGATCGACCGAGAGGGGAGGAGATGAGATCGAGCGATCTGTCCATCCCCAGACCAGACAGATTGAGCGAGAGAGAGAGAGAGAGAGAGAGAGAGAGAGAGAGCGAAAGGGAGAGGGAGATAGAGAGGGAGCAAAAGGAAGAGAGAGAGAGACGAACCTGATCGACGAGCGTCGAGCTGCTGTTCGCGAACCTGATCGACGAACCTGATCGACGAACCTGAGCGAGAGACGACGACGAACTCTTCTCCTCCTTTGCTGCTGTTGTTCGACATAGGTAGGTTTGGTTGATTGATTTCTTTTTGTTTTATTTTACCTTATTTTGATATTTTATACTTTGACCCCATTTTAAAATTTTGAAATTATTTTTTTGCCTCGCCGTATCCCGAAAAGTATCCCGACCGGATCTTCGCGTATCCCAAATGTATCCGAAATTCAAAAATTAAAAAAAAAAAAAATAGGATACTTTTTTCCCATATCTGATACGTAACCGGCCGTATTGGGGGCGCATATCCGTATCCGATACGCATACATGGGCCATTTCGGAGTATCCGTGCTTCATATGGTGTTTTCCTCTTACAATAAGGAATAATCCAGGGACTTGTGTGTTGAGAATCATATGTGAATTTTATTAATAGTTAGTGCATGATTTGAATATTCACAATCGAATCAGGTTACATAAATGTGTTGGGACACCCTAAAGAATCGATAGACAATGCATAAAGTGCCACCCAGTGATTAGACTCTTGCTAAAGTGGGGCTTGGGAAGGGCAAGATATGTTCAACCTTAGCCCCATTTCTGGAGAGACTATTTTCCAAACTTTCTGTGACTCAAACCCATGCACCAGGGATGCTAACGGCAAGACGTATGCTAACAGCAATGCATCCACTACATAAATTGTCAATTTTCACAGCATGTCTCGATGCAACATTCTGACTGTCCTATCAGTGGAGCCTATCCATTATGTTTGTGTAGTTGTGATAGTTAACACATTTGTTAGAATTGATATATTATTGATTGATATAATATTGTGTATATTACAAATGGTGAGTGGCTCATTATATAGGAGAGGGTGAGTGTAGTAGGTGAGGAGTAGGTGAGGAGTAGGTGGTGGTAGGTGATGGTAAATTGGTGGTAGGTGATGGTAAATTTTAACAGCCCCCCGCAAACTCAAGGAGGATAGAAACTAACCAACTTGAGTTTGGAGAGAGTAACAAAACAAGAAAATACATAAAAATAAAAGAGGATAAGAGACACTGTATGGTCGTGTCAGACCATTGGTGAAAACACTGGATGGTGGTGTCATAACGTTGTAGAGGACACTGTATAGGGGTGTCATAACCATGTAGAAGACACT